TGTTTAATTTTAAGAGCTACTATAGGGAACATTTAAACATGATCATTCAATAATGTTACTAATATTAGTTTTTGTTTTTCTTCACCTATTTCACTGGGATTCAATACAAACGGTGAACAGCTGGACAAACAGGATTTCATCTGTGGAAGCGAGCAGCATTGACCTCAATTACAAATAGTTTTTCTTTGTAAATATGTTATAAGACCTTATATATGGACCTTAATAGACCATCGGGCACTGGTAAGTTCAAGTAAGTCGTACAATAGGCATTGTTATATCTGAATTAACATATTTTGGTAAACCGGGCAAAAACGTATTGAATCTTAGCGTAGTGCTTTCTAGGTGAGCTTCATACGAGTGTTAGTAGTAAATATCTTCGATGGCAACTTTTAGCCGAATTTTCGTTTTCCTAAAATATATTCCAAGGAAAATTCTAAGAAATTATCACTATTATCATTATTATGTAAATTATTATTAGTAAAGTATTACGCCACTAATACCAATCTATGGTTCTGAGTCTATACATGTTTCTCTATCAAAAATACAAAGACTCTGGCAGCAGTTCGTACTGGTCGTCATGGGCCCGGCTGAATTTTAACGAACATGTTGGCTTTGTCTAGTTCGAAAAAAATAACAGCGGAAGCGATTATGAAACGTGATTTTTTTGTTAATAAGGCGGATGTATTGTATGCGCACGGCTACTTGAGGAGCCTGCTTTCTAACTGCCACCCCCACAAGCCTTGCTGCACGTGCCGGTTTAATACTTAACTCTGTATTCTTCTATACGTGTACATGCAATATATGACTTTTTGAAGCCTCAGGTTCGTTGTTTAACCAGGTCACTGTCATGCAAAACACATCCCGCTTACGATTGATGTATCGATGCCTTTCTCGTAAAAAACTGTCCTTTTTTTGCTGGCAAACTGGGTTTTGGAGTTTTTTCTTTTTTGAAAAAGAAAGTCGGGACTTCGAACCAACGTGCTTGTCCACAGTGAAAGCGTGGCCGTACTTTGTAAGTAGTTGCTGGAGGGTGTGAACGGCGTTGACATTTCAGATAGAATTGATTTTGACGCAACTTTTGCTTCTACACAACACCCAAAGAACTGCGGCAACGAGGAGACACCCGTGCAATCAGATAGGCGGTATTTGACCGGTTCATTTGAAAAATGTAAGTGCCTGTTTTAAGGCTTAATGATAACACCATTACAAACATTCTTCAATGGGAACTGCGTACGTACGTACGTACGTACGTACGTACGTAACTATCGACGAAGCAGCTCTCTTAGGAAAAAATCTTTGAAAAAATAAGTATACCAGAAACTTCCAAGCTAATTACGTCTTCCGACCTGATGACCGAACTCGACTCGACGAAGAAGTACGGAAAAGCTACGATTTATGGTTTCTGTATATATAATCATAAATCGCTCTTAGTAGGATACGCACGTCACTGTCTCGCAGGTCAAACTGCCAAGAATCTTAATTCTTCCGATTCAGCTACAAATGCAATTGAGCTGTCTTTGTCTTTGCCTTCTATTAAGTATATGACATTGTAGATCATATTATAATTATTTTCTAATATATGTAACATAGCCAATTTTGGGTTTATATATATATATATATATATATAATAACATGCATTTCTATTACTGACAAAAACAGAATGAGCAACGCCCTAAGAGCGAAGTGAACACGTTAACCTACTCGTCGATTAACTAACGACAGGATAAATGTCGGCCACATACAGGCCGTGATGCCTGAGACGAATCAAAGCGGCAATGATCGTAACTGATGGTCTCAAAGTTAGAAGAGTTGGTCTGCCTTCGAGCAGATCTAGGGAGCCGAGACTCAAAGGGTGTCCTAGGAAAATCTAGGTCGAAGCCGAGACGATTGAGCGATCTCACAAGGGCATCGAGCTGAGAGAAACCTTGTACTGACAATACCAGCTCGATATCGGTTCCCGCCGAGGACATCAACCGGTCTTTCTTATAAACAAGAAGAGCAACGCACGAATTTGAAGGATAGGTCTTGCTATGCTTGTGGTAATGCAAGACGTTGCCAAACGTTAAGGCTCTCTCTAATGAAAAGCATAGACAGCAGACAAAAAGTAAATTGCTTTTTCTTTCTTTTGGTTCACTTTACCACAACAAAAAAAACAAACTTCAAGAACGTACGTGTTCACGGCGAATTACGGTGCCGGGTCGATCTTGAACCACAAGTAGGCAGTAGACTTACGAACCGTCCAGCGTACCCCGAGTAATCGCGATTGGCTCGATGAGCCGATTGGCCTGACAGCTAGCGGCGCTCAGCGCTACAAATCTGCAGGCTCTGGGGCAGCTGCACTAAATATCATCGCTACCGAGGTAGGAACAGTAAATACTTTTTTAAATACACTTTATATGTGCCATAAATGAAAAGCTACATTTTGTGCAGAGCAAGAGCTGCTGATAATGGTTAAACGATGTCGGTTGAAAAGTCACAGATTGTACAGACTCGCGGAACAATGCTTACCAGGCACAGAGATAAAAAAAAAAACCAGCATATTCTGAAGACGAACCTGGCGAAAAAAAGCTGAGCTTCTGGAAGCTGCGACACTAAACTAGTACTACTGTCTGTTGAATAAGGCTGCGAAAAGACAGAACCGGGAAGGCCTAGAGGTCACGAATGAAAAGAATCAATGTCTAGCGTGTGTAGACATCAAGCGACCTCTACAAGAGCAGGAAAATTAATGCACAGAGATCAGTTTTAGTAGCGTACGCAGATTTATACAGTTTTGTATTTTATTAGAGCTGACTCACGGATATGCCAAGCAATTCGTGTTTCATCGACAAATATACTCGCTTTCGAAAGATACACTACTTCAAACACTAGCATGGAGTAGGCACAAATTTTGAACACCATTTGAAACAGCTCAAAACCACTACGGTCCGCTGATAGTTTCCACTTTGCAAATGATGCCGTTCGAGAGCTAGTAGGTGGAACTGGAACAGAGAGGTTCCGTCGGCTGCATTTTGTCCAACTCAAAATGGATGTGCGGGACGCCTAGACCATCGAAACATATCTAAGAGAAGGCGGTAGCTTTCGGAGGGGGGCAAAAAAGCCTTCTGAATTTGCGGGGAAACGATTATATCTGCAGTAGATCGACATCAAAACGGCGTTTCCCCATGAAGATCGCAAAGGGCAAACCTGCCTAGAACAGGCCGAACGTTAAACGGATGGGTCAGATAGTATGCTAGGTGAATATGTTTTTACCGACAAGTGCAAGCACTACTTACGCTATTCTATTCCGCGAGGATAGCGCCGGGGCTTGGTCTAATTTGGAAAAGGTCGCCAGTTCCAATATGGTTAGACACGTCCAAATTAATGCGATTTTGTACTTACAAGATCGTTAATAAAAAAAACTACATTATAATTATTATCAAAAGCTGAAAAGGTGCTTGGTAGTTGCGCTCTGGCTGAAAGCGGCTGTATATTCTATCGACAAAGGAGAAAAGTCCCGGTGGGCGAACAGTCTACACTAAATACCATTATCCAGCATGAAAGGGATTTCAGGATCACGAGTGGTGATTCGCAATACTGTTTGGGAATGCCAATACAAACATTTTCTTAGCAGATTTGTTTAAAAAAAGTCGTCGTGTTTCGATGATACGCCCAAGGCGCTAATGGCGGAGAACGTTAAACCGGTTAGGGAAGACGGCGGTGATCCTCGCTTGGCGTCGTGTTTGGGATTAATTTCCGTTTGGCGATTGGCTATAGGCTTTCTTAATTCATCGGCATGGGCTCTGTGGCTGCATATTGTTTAATTTGCAAAGCTGACTGATGACCTTCTGAGGTCATGCCGGAATAAGAGCGATTGTTGATTGAGTCTCGCGACTCACAAGACGACATGTCTTCGATCTGGATATCCTGTGCATAGAGGTGAGATCACGTCGAGCGATCAGTGACGTCGCTGTCGTGGCGATCGTTCAATTCGCGATCACCTGAACTTTTGCTTTCGGCTCAGGTAGACGCGTACTTGTTTTGAAAAGATTCAAACGACGAGAGTGGCGAGATGCCGCATCTGATTCAAGCTTAATTGCTAGTCGCCGCAATCAGAAGATATGCTCGGTGTTATGGTGTATTATGACGAGCGTTGGGATGTCAGGTCGGCGGGTCGCGGTGCGGAAGGCCCAGCAGCAGGCTTCTAATATTCGGGAAGAGTAACTGGATAGGATTCGGATACGGTTTTTTTTTTATCATCTTATATTATAGTTGTGTTTGTATGTAGAGGGAGAGAAACGTGACAAGAATGAGAACACATTGCTTCGGTGTCACAGCATCTAGTTTACACAGTAATTAGTGGAAACGGTTCAGTTAGGTAGATGTATGCCAAAAAATAAAAACGTATAAACCAATTTTCTATTCCCTGGGTAAAATAGATTATTCTAATACGACCGTTACAAATTACTTTAATATTTGCTCTCTCAACAATGTAACACTGATAGCACAGTTGAAACGCGCAGGCGCGAAACGCGAGACAGAAATATCGGATTTACGAAATAGACGTTTTTTTCAAAAACAACTCGCAATAAATGTTTTCTTACGTGCTAACAAATGCCCTTTTACTCTTGCAAAAAGTGGGTACCCGATTTGTGGCCACGGAGAAAAAGGAAGTCACCCATGTTCCTCAAATTCCTGATTCAGGAGGAACCCGAACTATAAAATGTCGACTGTGTCACATAAACACCAAGTTGCCGTGCCATTCGCGTTGATGCTCGGCTATTAATCAGATCTTCGCAGGCGTAGACAAGCTTGAGCACTGACTTGAATTAGCACCTTTAGCTGCCATCTTTTTTGTCGTTCCGTTGTCAAGTGACTCTAGCTACGAATATAACATCAGCTCATTGACTGAGTTCATATTGCGTTACTTCAACATTGCTTTCTGTGCGTAACGTAGCTTCATCTCATATTGGAGAAAACGCTAAACGGAAAACATTGTCCATATACCTACATAAGATACGTACCATCTCATACGTCTGGTTCGGTTATTGCGGCACGATGACGTGGCGTGCTAACACCCTGCTGTCTGTTCCCGAAGGTACTGCGACGTATTTGCTTTTCGAAGTGACAAGGCTGTTACTATATTACCATGGGTTCAGTGTCCACTAGGAGTGACCCCCAGTGACCGATAGCGTCAACTCACAATACCCGACCGCATAATCGGCAGTATATTTCCAATAAAATCACAACTCTATTACTGCGTATAAAATCCACCGTTGATTACGAACTACTCAATGTTGCTAAGCGCCCAAGTGTAGCATTGTAAAGAAACCAAGTTACCCCTACGCTGGGTCCTCATAGCTACCACTTCACAGAAGTTCAATTGCTGCTGCTGCACTATTTTTTCAGCATTACAGTCACCGTTTTGCTGGATGTGCTTTTACAAATACGCATGCCTTTAAAATGTTATCCGATTAGCCAACTAACACGAAATCGTTGATATTATTGATAGTTTTTGTTGGTTTCTGCGTCTTTTCTATTGATAACGACTGCTTGACCAACCAGTAAAATCCGCAACAGCGATCCACGTGTTCAGAGCGAAGCACACCTCTGCTCAACAGAATAGCGCTGCTTGTCGAAGCTCTTGGTTCTGTGTTTGTCGCGCAGCGACCGTTTGGAACAGACATCATGTTCGTGTTGTCCACAGTTTGAGCGTTGGCCAGTGAGGTCCAGCGCCAGCTGAAACGCAGGCTAGACCACGGTTTGCCAGCTCCAATAATAGGTCTCTATTGGCGGTGCGTACGACGGATGTGGCACAGCTAGCCGACACGCGTTGCTATGGCTACCGGGGCAATCATCCAGCGTGACTCCCCTGGGGCTCGCTGCACACGGATCCCCCTTTATTCTAATCCTATACGATAAATTGCTCTGGGGTCCTTTTCTGTGAAGCGCGGGCACAGGAGTGCAGCGATTCCGGAAGGGGCGATACTGCCAAAACAAACATATTCAATAATTGCATTGCGTCTTGGTGAAAAACGCTTGCTCCCTGAAAATTCGTCAGTGGTTTTTTTGTGATATATACGTGCTTTGATAGGCACATGATGCCGCAAAAGCTCTGCTAGTAGTAAGCGTCATTACAAAGTAGGGTTACAAGGAAAGTTTTTTTCGTTTTTCGTTAATTCATCATTAATGCGTCTCGAAAATATACACACATCCAACGGATAAGAATCTTCATTGTCACTTAAGGCTTGGAACCTATAAAGGAGTTAGGTAGAGGCGACCGGACCACCTGAGCGTACCGTGCCATCATTTCTAAGCACACTAAAGAGAGATTATCGCTAAATTTTTTTAATCTAATCTTTGATCAGTTTCTAACGTTAGATCGACCGATTTAGCCCCTGTGGTGAAGCAAAAGATAAAACAAAAAAGAAAACCTAATTTGATGAAGGTCGTGCCTTGGTCTGGCTGCACCCTAGAGTGTGCTTCGCCCGCTGCTTGTACTAAGAGATTATTCCTTTGGATCAAGCTGATCTGTTTCCCGCTAGACCTAATGCAACTCAAGCTTAACTTTATAATAGATACTCTGTCAAGCGTTACCTTTTCAAGACGAATAACTAGATCCGTACCTCAGTGATACGCTTAGCTAGAGGGGGTGACGAAACATGGAAGGATTGTCTACAGTTAGAGATTTGGCTATCGACCCTAAAACAGCCTATAACGGTAAGAACGAGGTCTCTCACAGCGTTAACGTATCATATACGGTCGAAATGCACTGCAACCAGGCCGTTTACTCTAATCATAAACACCAAACTCGATAAGGCGTCACGTACGTCGTGCCCGGGGCACCCTCTCCAGTCCAGGCCGGTGCACCATGGAACATCTATCGTTACAAAGGGGGTTGCGCAGAAACAACCCCAGCGATGACCCAGTTTTGAGAGGCCACGCGGTCCTACTTAAGGCCGTACGAGGCTGCGAATACGAACCTGTTTGTTTGCCACGTCGTGGGTGCTAGCAGGTACATTGGGTAAATTTTGTCTATCTATGGCGAAGGGAATCATCTGCAAAGTGCGTCTGCGCCCATTTTATGGACGAGGTACAACACCTGGTAAGGCGCTGGCTAGACCTATTTATTCTGGCGCGATCAGACGCTTAGCTTCGTACGTCATTTACCACGATGTTATTATGAAAGCAAGATTTACCTAAATCGGATGTTGAAAGGATAGCAATGACAATTGCCGGATAGCCACCTTTTCATATGCCATATTATGTTGGTCTTCGGACGAGTCGACTTTGGTTAACAGCAAGGTGTAGAACGGAGCATATCGTCCGCCATCGACGGAATTCACAGATCGCCGAGGGGTTCTTTTTACAAATCGTAAGCTGGATTCAAAAAACGAAAACTTTATTTTTTTTCTTTGAACTTCGAAATGGTTGTGTTTTTTGAGAGTATGAAAAGATTATATCGTTTGGCTGAGTTAATATTTGCGAAGAATTTTGTTCCTAGGTAAACGCTTGCGTACTTGCGGCCCAACCAGTCAACACTGCAACATAAAGCTTACTTAGTGTTGTGTTGAAATTTATAGTTGATCGTTTACTTGAGCTCAAGAAGTAAAATCTGATAGTATTGTTCCATACCTAGGATTGTCAGCTGTAACTACTAAATGATGCCGACCGAAAAAGGACGTCTGAGAAAAACTTTCAACTTGTGCAATTTTACATACAATTGTTGATTATAACGCCTGTCAACTTCCTGCAAATATGATAGGAGATCAATGATGGACCCTGTTGTTGCTCATCATTGATTGTTTGACGTTAAATGAATTCGGTCTGTTGTTACAGTAAAGAAATGTATACGTTATAGACGATTTACGTAAAGCTCAACGAGGTTCTATTAGACGAATTCAGAGATGATCATTTTACCCGCAAACGTAAGTCTATTTAAATCATTCCACGCCCGAATACCGTCGAGCTATCTGCTATAGCGATGGCTCAGGATCGCCGCTACGTTGAATTCGAACAAATAAAATGGCAAAGGTCGTAAATCGGCCCTGGAGAGCTGTTTAGTTAAGACCCACTTATAGCGATGCGCGATGTCGATCAGCATCGGTTTATCGGGCTGTTCCGCGTCATGAATATGGCACAGGTCGACTATGCGCTAAGAAAGGATAATCCTTCAATACAGCAAACGAATCGACAGCTTCAAGCCGCCTTCTGCTCGTTATTTAGTTGTGACTACATAAAATTTACTCGAAAATGAAGCAAAAAATACACCTTGTTTTAGCGGCGGGCTTCTTATTATGTGCTCTTATTCTTGTTGTCGTTGTTATACCCTTATTCAAATTACGCGCCATTAAAATGTTTTTCAGGATGCTAGTTTGTGATTTCTCTAATTGAATAAATATTTTCCTTAAAAACGGTGGTGCGTATGTTAAGTGACGCAAACGGAAAAAAAATTAGGTAAAAGTCTTGTTCTGTAAGATATTAATTTTCCGTTGGTACGTATATAACAATCAATTCCGATTCATTTGTTGCTGAGACATTCAAATAGATGGAAGAGATGTCTAGAAAAACGTTTGAAGACTACTCGAAACCGTTCTACTGGGTGAGGCCACTTTGGACATTCAGGAGTTCATAGACCGAATTCTTATGTTCTCACTATAGCTTTATGCGCTAGTAAAATTGTTTTTCTTTTATATACAGCTGAAACATAAACTTACGGGTTAGAGTGAAAAACTACTTACTATTGTTAATGGATAGATTTCCCGTTTAGAAAATCTGAACAGACTGATGCCATATTGACACCCAAATTTTCCGGCTTCTGGAATACAAAACCTTCTATTATTGGAAGTGTGAGGTTGATCTTTGCCTTTTCGTCGACACGGAGGACCTGCCATAATGCCACGCAGCGCTTCCTCGTCTCACGCTTTCCTGATGTAGCCTGAAAAGCGTCTCATCTACTTCCCTTTTTATTTACATGTATCAGTGTTATTTTAACGCAATAACACCAAACGAATCACTTTATTTAATCATACAGCCTGTGTTCGCATTGATCGTGTTTGTGCCTAACTGTACCTTGGCCATTTTCAATCCGCTTATCGTACCTTTCGATTACCGTTAACGGCCAACAATGCGTTAACATACAAATAACATCACACAATATAAATTGTTGAATTTAGAATTAGATCAGACAGTTAGTGTGTTTGTAAGTAAAAAAAAATTTGCTCAAGGCATCCGCAATCGGGTTCAGGTAAGGCTTCAGTTGAACTATTTGGAAAGAACTTTTCCAGGAGAGTGTCAAAGGCTGCCTGCAGGAACTCTACCTAACTTGTTACACAGTCGTAGAAAAGTCTTGACTGACCTAACGTTCGCGATGGCACGGTGGCCTGGACGGCTTTAGCTCTGGCTGAGAAAGATTAGGGATCCCTGGCCAACGCTATTCAGTACAATGTATAGCGTTGGCCAGGGCCAATTGTACTTAAGTAAAGACACATACACGAACGTAAAAAGCAATCCTCCTAGCGACGGATGAACTTCCTTTAGATACGAAGTATCCATTATTACGGTGCAAGGCTATCAGAAGCAAACATGCACTAGTACTCGCACTGATATTGTCCCTCATTCCCATATCGGGTCGTAATTCTCCAGAATATTCAATTATTCTTAATTACTCACTGATGACAATACATCGTATGTAAACGTTTCTTCAGAACTTAGTTGAATCGAGGGCCATTTAAGTAACCTGATAAGTCCTACCAGATCGGAAAACACACGATGCGGATAAGCGTCGATCATCGTTCAATATATGAATTTTAGAAATCCTTGGCTTGCGTCACTAGGTTTCAGCACGCGCTATTGTACCCAGCGCCATATCGAATGAACGCTTAGTCTGGCCTTGAATAATCTACATGTGTTAACGTCCTGTTTACGTACACAATTGCTTCCATTGTCACGAGTAGTTATTACTCCGGGTCTTAAATACGGCCTTAAGGGTGCTATTGTGGCATGTACATCTTTACTACCTGGCCTAAGCAAGACTCCTTGCTATGCGCATATATCGCTTAAAATCGACTT